AAAAGAATTAAACTGGCAGCCTTAAAACCAACGTTGTAAAACCAATAAATCAATTTTTATGCACAGAATACGAAACGAAAAAATTCCACCATCAATTTCTAACATGTTCAAAATAAGAATAAATGACAGATATGATTTAAGAAGTAACAATAGCAACTATGATCTTGGAAAACCTGAAACAAATTTTATGAAAAAGAGTTTTAGTTATTCAGCTGCATCCCTTTGGAATGACTTATCAATTACAGCAAAAGAAAAAGGCATTAGCCTTAACAAATTTAAACGTATTCTTGACGGCACTTGATTCAATTTGGTAACTTTGTAAATATTTAAATAGAAATAGGACAAATAGGGTATATTCAGAAACAAATGTAGTGCATGCAATTATTAAGTTCGTTATGTTTTCTCTGTTTTTGTGTATATATTTGTGTTATATATTTATAGCTTGCAAATATTTGTAATAAACGGCCTCTTAAAAAGCAGGTGCCTACGAGCCCTGAAGAGCTACCGTTTTAAAATATTTTTAAATAATAATAATAATAAGGTTGTAGAAGTTGATATGCTAGGGATACGGTCAACAAGATCAATGATCTCCATCAAGCCATCATGGAGAAGACTTTGTACCTTAAAGATCTGCGAGATGAAGCGAGATGAAGCGAGAATTGGAACGTGATGACGTCATGAAGTAGTACTTTGACGATTATGATTTAACCTTTATATCCAGATTCCAGGCTAAGGAAGTTAATATAAACGCCCAACAGCGGTGCGCGACCCCTTGGTTAATTGACGGTGTAGATTTGACTTCGCCTTCATCTTTTCCAATCGATTCATCGCCTTGGCTAGCCATACTCTTTAAATTTCAATCTTCGACAAGCAAATATATGTGAATAATATAAATTTACTTAAATATTTTCACTATTAAAAACAAGGCGCAAATATGAATTTGTTTTGCATACAAATTTGAAATTTCTGAGCCGTCTCGCACATGTCTCGAACTCGCAGGACAGGCCCAAAATTATCCTGCGTTCATTTCAAAGGTTTGATAAACACAGAACTAAAGTGTCCCACATGCACCACACCTGGCAACTACAGTCTACAACATACATAAATACGAAACTGTTACATTCATTGGTGTGTGGTTGTTACCGAGCATAGGTGCCAGGCATAATGGTCTTGGGGCCGCCGGCAATCTCCTCCGTCGTTCGTTCGATACTGGTAGGTAAGCCACCTATTTACCCCTCGCTTCTGACGGTAACGTTGAATTTAAGCGAAATCTAGATTAAACGTTAACATACGGCGTTCTAGCGGCTAGCACGAGACGAACCTGACCGACACGAGCTAGCAGAGTGGGGAAGTATGGACTGATAGGGAACTTTTCTTTTTAATTTACGCCCTTCTTCGATGGGGCACTTTTCTTTGTAATTTACTCTTCGAAAAAAAACCAGATCTTCTAATTTACCGATCAATTGAATTGCGACTAAAAAAGTTAGCAGTGTGTTTTGTGCTTTTTATCTAAGGGACCGTTCATTATTTATACCTGGGGTTGGTACCGAAGAGAAGCGAAAAACACTGTAAATTTTTTATTTACCCAACCTCGTCATTGGTCAAAATAATGTTTACCCAACCCATGTGTTACTGTACTTGATAATAATTAAACACATAAGATTATGGTGACAGAAATTAAGTTGCCTAAATTCTGAAAGCTCACTCACACTCAAACTCACTGGTACAGAATGTATTGTACACATTTTTCTTCATATTTTCCAATGCATGGTAATTTTGGTTAAATTTTATAGCTGACAAACAGCCACAATTTTTTTACCCAACCCATAAGCTAGTCAAAAACTTGATTACCCAACCCATATCTCTTCGGTACCAACCCCAGGTGTAAATAATGAACGGTCCCTAACTTACAAAAATCTAAAAATGTATCTTTACTACTTGTTTATGTCATATCAAATTTAAAAACACGATTAAAAACCTAAAGTTTAAGCTCTAAAGTTAAAGTTTCACGCCAGGATACCAACTATTTCGCCATTTTGTAGGTACCTATCTACTTTCTGGTCAACCTCGTACCCAGGGCTAGTCGCGAATTGAAGGCGGCGGCGACGTAGCCCTGGTAAACGCTGGTCACGTGACTCCAACATTACGTAATTGTTACTTTTCTCAACCGGGGGGTGAATAGGTGAAACTCGAAGACAAACAGTTTTTATCTCCGAAATTTTAGTCTTCAATCTTCCCTGTGAATTTTGCATTTCAAGCTTTTCTCAAAGTACGGCGATCGATCAAATGGATCAATACTTTCTGTAGAAAAAACTCAGTGAGATTTGTTCGTATGAGACGTTTAAAAGACTTGGATATGTCGCTAAAGACGCTCGATCGTTGCACAGGTTTATGGTTTAGTACTTTGTTCAGTTTGTTGCGACTTGCGAAGCAAATGAATTAAAATTCAACTCTTGTATAATGACTAAAAGTTGGTTTGTAGAGGGACAACTTATACAAAAGATATGAATGCATTAGCTTCAAACTAGAGGCAAGTTCATGGACATCCCTAATATATGGACATTGATATTTCACCAATATGTAAATATGACTATTAAATATATAAAAGGATTGCTGTTGTATTACTTGTATATGTATATATGTATATAAGTGTTGTGCTGTGGTATTTACGTTTTTAACCCTTTAAGTGGCATATCCCCCCCCCATGGACTAGAATTTCTGAGGGGGTTGAAAAAGCCGTTTCTGAGGGGTTGTGTGCATCGGTGCCTCTTTTGATCTTTGCATTTTTTTCTGAGGGATAAGGCAAAAATTTCTTAATTTCTGGGATGTGTGTGTTGGTGTCGGCACTTTGATCTTTTTTCTTAGGGGTGTGTGTACATCGTCCATAGGGGTGTGTACATTGAATGGAATGGCCCAATGCACCCAGATGCACCCTACTTTGTTAGTTTACTCTGTCTAACACCAGACAATTTTACTCATCAGGTGGAGAGTGCATGGCGCCACTCAATGGGTTAACATAGTCGATGAACATGCCAAATGATCCTGGACCGTGGTAGTGCATTTTTGCACTTGCTGGATGATATTGCAACCAAGCATTGTTTCAGAGGAAGAGCCCTGAGATCATGCTGTGTAGCAATTGGAATCTCGCATAGAGCCTGCTCTCACATAAAGCAGGCAAGACCTTCACTCAGAAGCCAGTCCTGATTAATATTAATTCCCCACATAAACACTTGGAAACCAGACTGTCCCATCTGCCATATGCAGGACAAAAAACGAACTAAATCAGCATGATAAACAGTGCGATGATTTTTGCTTAGCCCAAACCAAAGCCAGTTTTCTAGAATTAATTTGCAGAATCCTAAGAATTGGACTGCCAACTTGAAGAGCTAGCTGTGCTAACCAAGTTGCATGGGCAACCCTAAATTGATGTGACTAGAGCAAATCTTCAAAAAATAATAGAGATCAGATTTGACTTCCACTGCTGCTATTGCTATCATTAAAGTTCTAACCAGATAAGTTTCATTTATCCAATCAAACAATCAGATGCAACTGCCAGATCAAGTAGTGGTAGTGGAAGTACCTACATGGATTTCAGAGAGACCAGTCATTATTTGCTGATATATTATTATAACTTGTTTAATCAAAAGCTACTATATATTCATTTATGATATTAAAAATTGATATAATTTTATCTAAGTGAGAATAATTTAAAAAAAATATTCATAACATAAAATGATTCATGCATGCTGGTGATTGAATAAACCATGAAGTGTGCATTCTGAATCTCTACAAGTTCCTTGACATTATTTTCCAGTACAGTGTAAAACTATATATATAAATGTGACACAGGTTGCAGGTATTAGGTTGCATGTCCACCAGTGTGCTGAAATACCATCCAGTGACCCGGTCTGGTTCATTGTTACTTGCATCTTGCTTAATTCAACTGTTTTCGCCCTATTTCTTGTACCCATAAAGTTCTTTTCAATAATCTAGAAAACTTCAATTTAATCATTCAGTAAATTTAATTTAAAATTGAGTGAAAGGTAAATAATAGATGAAGAAATCATTTCTTATTGTTCATACATATGGCCCCCATCTCTGTCAGGTATTAGAGTAGAAAGTTATTGAAGCCTGAAAATAAATATGGCAACAAGGTTACACGCCATACTGCAGAGTAAGGCAATTTTTTTAGAGATCTCAAGGGCACAAAAGGTATAAATATAGATTGTAGGGGCAAGGGAACAAAATAATGAAATTTTGAGATTCGGGGGCAGGTTTTAATTACAATGGGGTGCTAAAACTTTTCCCTAAAAAATCCCTGACCAGCTGGAGTGCTGAAACTGATGTTGACTATTGAAATATCCTAGCAGGTTAGGTTCATCAGATTTTAGCTTTGTCAACCTGGCCACTCTGTTATTACAGTATTTAATGGCTCATTTAAATAATTTCAGGTCATTACTGTAAATGTAAATACAAAGTATTTGAAGTTAACTATATTAACATACTGTAAAATTTATTACAGTAAATAGCCTTCGAAATATATATTTCATAGAGCTAGACAGTGTAACAAATAATGGGAATCTGCTAAATAATTTGTAACAATGAAATACTTCTAAACATTTTCAAATTCTTATATACTGTACCTTTTTATACTTGATGGAAATCATCACAAATAGTATGTACGAGATTGGCTCCATTTTCACTGCTTCGAAATTCGAAACATCGCCTCCTCGGCGATTTACATGATGCGATATAAAAGAAGATTGATGTACATTCGACGTAATATATAAACGTAACATATTAAGAAGAAAGATTACAACAAAAATAAAAGAATATAAATAATCCGCGGCAATTCAAGTTCCATTCGTGAACTTTTCGTCGCCCCCCTGTCTTTATTTCCACAAAGCCCGCTCGCAGGCTAATACTCCAAGAATCTTGGAGTATTTGCCTGACACGTGACCAGCGTTTACCAGGGCTATGTCGCCGCCTTCAATTCGCGACCAGAGATTCGCGACTAGCCCTGGGTACGAGGTTGGTATAATTATGTGTCATGTCATACAGAACGGGACTAGCTAACATTCGTGGGTCGTGGGTAGAATGTCGTGGGTCGTGGGTAGAATGTCGTGGGTCGTGGGTAGAATTTCGTGGGTCGTGGGTAAAAAGGCGTGGGTCGTGGGTAAAAAGGCGTGGGTCGTGGGTAAAAAGGCGTGGGTCGTGGGTAAAAAGGCGTGGGTCGTGGGTAAAAAATCGTGGGTCCCGAATAAAAAGTCATGAATTCCAAGCAAAATATTTCCATATATTTACCTTTCTCCCTTTGGAATGCGTATTTTTTTTTTCTTCTGAGGCTTTCCCAAACTATGCCCAAATATGCATAGCTTAGAGCGCGTTAAGGCCGGGTTTTTGATATCGGCAGATCGGTTTATAAATATTATAACCAAGTGTGGATGAGCACGGCCTATTGGAAGATCACATCTTGTAAATATTTTAGTTTTTGTCTTTTGTGAAATAGTACCGTGGGTAAATAAAGTTTGATTGATTGATTGATTGAAAAAAAAGTTCAAGCCCCATATAGCTCAAATATTTGGACGTTGTAATCTTATAGACAGATCAATTAGTTACTGCAATTCTTCAATAAGAATATAGCTCAAGGCCACATGTACGAAAGCTGAGTAGCACTATCCACTCGATATTATAGTCAAATTTTTATAACCGGCAATGGCATCATATGTTTTCAAAGCTATATATGGAACTGCGGAGTATAGCTAACCATTTAATTAATGAAATAATATGACATTTGACTTATATATGGTCTTCATGTATATACTATACAAAGAATTCGAAGATCGCCGGTCTGCAAAATAGTGATGCATCGATACCATATCGGTAATTTTGTTGTTGATATTACCGACATCGTCGTAAACATTCAAACAACAACAACCAATGTTGCTGTTATTTAAAACTGCTGAAGTCTATCCTAAACGATTTCTGAAATATCGCAAACTACAAACGGAACAAACCTTGCATGTAAACAATGCTACTCCGGCTGTTATTAAATAAGCGCTGTGAAATTTCCAAATTCCAACTTGCCATTGACTTCGCTGAAACTTGATGCTCAAGAAATATGTAGAACTATACCTCTCTGTTATCAAACCTACGGTAAAATAATCCGACAAAAGCCTACTGAAAGATAAGTCAAAGCATGAATGTTACAAAATACTGTATGTGTCACTATGTGACTGTACATATATTTGTAACTTATATGTTTGACATTAGAAAATACAAATCACATCATGATAAATTTGACACTAGATTCACTACTTCTTGGTATGTATACATCATGGTATGTATTTAAGTGAAATCTCTCAAATGCTTTCTTTTATTTTTCCCTAGTAAATTAACAGACATTGCATTAAATTAACACTGTCAAAGTGGAAATTTCTCGCTTATTACTGTAAGAACATGGATCAACAAATTAGTGAAGCCCTGAATGTCAGAATTTAGCTATTTATGACAGGCTTGACAGCACTATTTCCTATTGAAGAATTACAATATTTATCTGTCTATAAGATTACAACGTCCAAATATTTGAGCTATATGGGGCTTGAAGTTGAACTGTTTCATCCACACTTGGTTATAATATTTATAAACCGATCTGCCGATATCAAAAACCCGGCCTTAACGCGCTCTAAGGTATGCATATTTGGGCATAGTTTGGGAAAGCCTCAGAAGAAGAAAAAACACGCATTCCAAAGGGAGAAAGGTAAATATATGGAAATATTTTGCTTGGAATCCACGACTTTTTATTCGGGACCCACGATTTTTTACCCACGACCCACGCCTTTTTACCCACGACCCACGCCTTTTTACCCACGACCCACGCCTTTTTACCCACGACCCACGCCTTTTTACCCACGACCCACGCCTTTTTACCCACGACCCACGCCTTTTTACCCACGACCCACGCCTTTTTACCCACGACCCACGCCTATTTACCCACGACCCACGCCTTTTTACCCACGACCCACGCCTTTTTACCCACGACCCACGCCTTTTTACCCACGACCCACGCCTTTTTACCCACGACCTACGACTTTTTACCCACGACCCACGACTTTTTACCCACGACCCACGACATTCTACCCACGACCCACGACATTCTACCCACGACCCACGACTGTTAGCTAGTCCCTACAGAACTCCTAGGTACAGTATGAAAGTTGTGCTTTCTAGAATTTAGATTTGAATATATTTTGGGTATTAATTTTACAAAGCGTCACTTTCTCACAAACGAATGTCAAAATCCTCAACGACTGCTTAAACTATTCAAAATACGTAGACCAAGCGTGTTACAATGTTCTTGTGGCATTGTTTCAAATAATTGACTGAACTTTTATTGGTCTAAGCATTGTCATGAGTTACGCTTGATTAATAATTTTGTTATATAGCCACTATATCTACTTCATCTGCTATACAATATAGCTTATACAAATTATATAACATTTGGAATTATTTAGAATATCATCTTCTCTAATCGTCCTCAAATTACGATTTCTCTCAATTTATAAGTCTATAGTGCAATCTAGGAACACACATATTCAGCACTACAAAGTCAATGATCTATTATACAATATCAATGAATATGATTTTTGAGCAAACTAAGCATTGTACGGCCATAATATCATCTAGTTGAGAATGCGCTGGCATTTCCAGAAACTGAGTAATTTAACAACTGTTTCCTGTGTTACACAGCTGTTTGACTAAACAAGTTACAATCTGGTTGACTAGCAGTAATCGTAGTCACCTTTTTTCGTGCCAGGGGTGCCCCAGAGTCTATGAGCGGTACCCAAACAGAACGTTTCGGCTCATTAGAAATTACGTTAATATCATCTAGTCCATTCGATGGTACCTTTTCCGATATTCCGTTTTGAGCCAATTTGGGAATCCCGTTTGATGGCACCGCACCATTGGTGTTCAACGAACGGCAAATATTCTCTTCAGTCTCAACACACGGGGAGTTATCCACGGATTCATAGCCTTTGTCACTATTGTTTGTTGACTCTTCAAATGAGTCGTTAGTATTTGAACCTTTCTCACTTAAACTATCTTGTTGCGAGGTCCGGTGTGATAACACTGGAACGCGAGGAGGAAGAGGTTCTGAGTGGAAAACAATCAGTGCATCCTCTGCCAACGAAGATTTTGGTTTATCAGTTTCATCAGTTGGAATTAAGTCATCAGGTTTACTGGCATTACATGGTTCGTTCTGGTTTTCTGTGCAACTGGAAGTGTCTTTACTGTTCCCTTCACACACATAATCCGATTTTGCATGACATTCGTTGGTAATTTCTTCACAGTTCGTTTGCGTATCACCAATTGTTAGAACATCAACATTCTGTGCAGAAACGTTGCTACTATTGGAACCTTCACTGAAAGTGTTTTCATTAACTCTATCGTCAATACTGTCTTCAATGGCAGTATTGGGTATTGATATGTTCCCATTCAAAGTTTTCGTATTTAAGTTGGAGACATTTTTATCTTTTTCGGAAGCGTTGCGACAACCGAAGACGCCACGGAACGACTTTGGGCTCTTAGGGCTTCGGGGACTCTTAGGTTTACGCGTACACGGCGAGTTTGGTATGCTTGGAGGTCGAGAAAAAGCTGCGGATAGGTCCCGAGTGGCGACGACCGACACAACTTGATTTTTTCCTTTCTTTGTTGGAGATAAAGTGAACAGGATGGGCATTACTCTTTGAGACTCCAATTCATCATCGTTTTCTAAAAGATTGAGGGTGGTTGGTACCTTTACAGGAGGGCTCTCCTCTGCACTTTTCTCCACGCTTTCCTCTTGATTGAAGGAGTTGACATTAGTATCTTTGCTGGATTGGCTACTGTGATCAATCTCAATTTGTCTCGAGAGAAGAGGACGGGTTTCGCATGATGTCTGCTTCAATGAAGTGGGTTCTGGTTGTTCTGTAGAGGACGTAGATCCGTTTCTCACCAAAGGACTGGTCTCCTCACATTCACCATCATCTTCACTTGAATCAGTAAAAGTGGCTGAAGGTGTAATGGCGTACAATTCTCGTATCTCGGTTGAACTAGTTACCTTAACTTGTTTATCGTCTTCGCTTGGTGGATCTCCCATATCCTCCTTCAAGTTTTCTTTCATTTCATCTTCCAATACATTGACACCACCTTGTTCACTAAAATAGGATAATAGGGTGAGATATATATACTCTTCTGTATTATTGTAGGTGAGTACCATACTGGCAAACTTAATTTAATGAAAAGTAAAAGCATCAAGCAAAAAAGCTTCGCTGAACAATGCTTATCAGGGGTAGTGTCTTTGAACTGTTTTTAGGATATTCTGGAAGTCTACAGATGCCGGAAAATCGTTTTGCAAGACATTTAACATATTTTGCGCTAATTACGTAATTTACTCCGTGCTTAACACTGACAACAAACGGCGCAATTAATAAACGTTAAGTTGCAAAGATATAATTAGTGAAAATTCTCAGTTTCGCTTGTGCAGCATGTATATGAAAATGTTACGTATTATTGTAACACTTACCAGTCTGGTATACTGTGGATGCTCGAGCCAGGATCTAGAACAATTTTAGGAATAGGAGAGAGTCCTCGACTCCTCACTGACTTCTTACTATCAGATTGTAATTGAAATCTTTTCCCATCCTCTCGAGTCTCCAGCTGTGATTTTGCCTCTGATGATTTCACACACGACAAATTGCCCATTTCTACGTACGTATCTTAAATAAACATTAATGAGTGTTTAGTAATAACAGAAAAATCAAGGATCTTGGTATAAGTGTGATCAGCCCTGCAAAGCAGACGGCGGCTTATTTTACTTAAACAGCATATGCGTGACGAAGCTAGATTTTCGCAATATCAAACTTAATCCAAAGTCGTGTCCTTAATTCCTACGTATTTTCATTATTTGAATACTATACAGGTTTCTTCAAATTCGTTCATTTTAATCTGTACACCAAATTCTTGAGGAAATTTATGTTACATATCTCATTGCTTTATATATTATTGTATAGCTTCAGGAAATTTATGTTATATATATTTGAGGTTCGTAAGAGTTATGCCACTAAAATAGCGTGATAAAGTGATAATGATATTGGCTTTCCTTCGTGGTTTAAAAAACGCTGCGTCACAAAAGACTCAAGTTTAATTTATTTTATCCTCCATTTATCTTTAAAATCACTTAAGACTCAAAACAAAACCACGTGTTCCTACGTTTGAATGTTAACTGATTTGTTTTCATGATCAATATACATATTGCTCATTGTTTTGCATGGCCACACATTTTACGTCAAATATCCTCACATGTATAATAGTCGGCCGGCCAAAACCTGAAAAAGTGCACACGATTTGTTTAATTGATGGCCTTTGTTACAAGATGCCAAACTGGCATTTTCTTAGAGTATATGCATTAATGAAGAAGAATATATACGTTGGCAACTATATACTGCATATATAGGCTCAATAGCCGAAAATTTGAGAATTATAAAATTCTGCCTATTAAGTGCTGTCTATATGCAAAATTTCAAGTTCACTTTTAACGAAAATAAACTATAGACTACCATTAGAAAGTTCGCAAAAAAGTCAATATAATTAAGACTTTTAAGCGAGTAGCATGGTTTTCTGGAATAGTTACTATATTTTGCCAAGCTCCTCTAATTCAAAACCGGCTTGAGAATTTCCACTGCATGCTTGCATGTCATATACTTGTCATAAATGTCATACTTTTTTTGCGAACTTTCTAATGATATAGTTTATTTATGTGAAAAGGCTCAAGTTAAATTTATTTTATCCTCTGTTTGGAGCATAGATATAGGAGATCTAGATTGCTAACGCATACCTAGCGCAGGAGGGGCCTACATGATAAATCCAAGATGGCGGTACAACAGGGCAAAAAGACTATAGATTCTATTACGAAAATCAGGATTTTTGCATTTTTTTCCGTCGCATTGTTTTGAAACTTATTCAGTCAAATTTTATGGTAAAGAGAAACTTACCGCGAAGATTTTGAGCATATATGATTGAATTGGATGAAAACTCGCAAAATTATCCATCGATAAAAGTTCGTGTATAGTACTGATATAGTACTATATATGTAACTTGTACAGTTTTGCTTTAATTTTTGTTCACTATTTGCATAAAAAGCAAATTATAACAGACCATAGACCCTCATCCAGTGCTCTCATCAGTTTACTTCTCTAACAATTATGAGAATAGAGCAGATTCATAATTATGAGAATAGAGCAGATGATAATGAGAGATGCAAGTATAAAACACCATTCACAAGGCTAGATGTTAACATCGCACATATTTCTGGCAATAAAACGCTCCAACTGACCATTTCACACGAACTTTTATCACTGGATAATTTTGCGATTTTTCATCCAATTCAATCATATATATGCTCAAAATCTTCGCGTAAAGTTTCTCTTTACCATAAAATTTGACCGAATAAGTTTCGAAACAATGCGACGGCAAAATATGCAAAAATCCTGATTTTCGTAATAGAATCTATAGTCTTTTTGCCCTGTTGTACCGCCATCTTGGATTTATCATGTAGGCCCCGCCTGCGCTAGGTATGCGTTAGCAATCTAGATCTCCTATATCTATGGTTTGGAGTAATTTATTTTATCCTCCATTTTGCATTTTCAGTCAATGACATTAACATATAGTATTACATTTATCAGGCAAAAGTTTAACATTCTCAAATTTTTGGCTCTTATGCCAAGTGCCAACGTACATGCATGCCATCAGAGTGCAATTTTCAGAGAGTGGGCCGGTAGCCTATAGTAGCGCAGCATCAAGATCTGTTTTACATTTTGTCTCAAATGTAAAGTGACGGAAAAAATAAGACAAAAGGCTTACCACCAGAATCCTTCTTTTCGTTATCTATCTGTCCACTTTGCCATGGCGAACAAGCACTGCAACAGAAAAAAAACTACGTATTCAGAGACAGAGCACATAATAGGAAATATAAATATTTAGGGGGAAACGATTATAGAGGAAACAATTAATTTTGATAGGAAGTTAAATACACCACGAACATGTAGATACGTCTATTAGGCAGAAGGTCAATTCGCGGGATTAAACGGGCTTTTTTAAAATTATAACACTGCATGTAAGTCCGAAGTATACAAGAAAGGTTTACCGTATAAAAATGGAGCTCATCTTTTAGCTTAATAATTTTCTGAATAGTAATCCTCATTTATAAGTATGTTATTTTAAAGTTTAACATTACTGTTTTTGCTGCACGAGATAAGGAAGAAATGACTAAAATATGCATGTAAAAACATTTTAAAAGATATTCAATTGTTTATTTATCTCCTGCTCCTGAATTCTTCCGTCAAAAATAATCATAAAACAATCTTGAAATAATCGGCACCCACGCCATCGAATCGCGCAGAATGCGAAAAGACTGCAAGCATGCATCACGGTTAAATATTTTTCGCGAACCAACCCCTCAAATTTCAAACGTCGACTACCATTGAAAAGCTGAATGACAAAGCTTTAAAATTTAATGTACTGTGTTATTATTGGCTGTATTATTCATGGCTGTATTATTCTTTTCAAAATCTACCTTTGAATCGAGGATGCCGTTTATTTGACACACCCTGTATAGGCCTACAGCTAATTAAAAAAAGTTGTCCTTTGCAAACCTCAAACTCTAAGCGTACAAAGCATAATGGGAGCATCATTTAATCAGTTTAGAATCTATATATGGGGCCCATTTCTTAAAGACATGGTAAACATCTCCTTACGAGAACAATTCATTTACAAATAGCTGCGATATTCAACTCTAAGCTTGAAACTTGTGTTCCCATTAAACTTTGCGCGCTTAGAGTTTAAGGTTTAGAGTTCAAGGTTTCAAATATTCAACCGAGGTTGATTATCAACTGGCTTATTGGAAACTCTTGAGATCCTCTTGAAGTACGTTGATTATCAACCACATGCTTTAGACGTTGCCCATATATTAACGAAGATTTAAATCTGACAGTATGCACTTTAACAAAGAAGTATGTTAATACTAGTTGTTTTGCCGAGTGTATATACGCGTTTGAGCACACATGCAATTTAAGCCCGGATCAAACGAGAATGGGAATGCATGCAAGAGGGCAGTCATTCGACCTTGGTTAGCTGTACTTAATACTTTTCCAACACTATAATGTATTTTCTACTTAAGTATATATATATATATATATATATATATATATATATATATATATATATATATATATATATATATATATATATATATATATATATATATATATATATATATATATATATATATATATATATATATATGTATATATAGATCGTGCCTGCCAATTTCCATCAAATCTCATCCTCGTTGACAGGGACGTTACGTACGATAACAAAACTTCGGTCGAAAATACCTGAAAAATACAAGGAGAACATCGACGTTTCGAGCGAAGGCCTTTCGTCGGAAAGTTAGTACCACTAACTTTCCAGTTATACAACTTCGCGACGAAGGGGCATCGCTCGAAACATCTTAGTCCTCATTGCATGTGCATGTTTTTCAGGTAGTTGCATCACTATCAACCGAAGTTTTGTTATTACTGGCACCAGCTACACTGGTGCAGACGTACGATAACAGTTTTTCTCGACAAACGCCAAAGGAAACAACATATATACAAGATTTGTGTAGAAAAATACCACCGGTCTAAATAGGAACATTAATGTTGTTGAGCATGCATGCATGCATGCATGAATGAAAGATAACAGACGGTACTGACAATGGTAAGAAATGTTTGTTTTCATGTCTATACACGTGTCAATTCGTAAAAAAAGGTATATAATGACTGAACGTATCTTGCATCTCGGGTTAGTACATCACATAAATAAATTAATGTTCTCCTTAACAAGCCCATGAGGAATATAATACAATTGCATATAAGTTCTTTGTGTAGGATTGCATGTCGATAAAACATATACTACTTTTTGTTTGTGGAAACACCACGTATAAATTTAACTGCATGTGTTATATTAAATATATATTAAAACCTTAAGACTTTGAATACAATTTTATATGTCATATACCTATTTGGACACCATAAATAATCTAGCAATATTGATTCCATGAAATATCAGTGTCATTAGAAGTATATAAAAATTAATATCTAAATTGACAAAATAAAATCATATTTTACACGTATACAAGAGATAGTTATAAGTGTATCACAAACATATAAATTTTAACGACCGTTAGCAATTTTCAGATTATAGGAACATCGATAAATGCACGCAGTCACAACCTTGTACTAATGATTGTACTAATGTACTAATGATTTAAAATGCAGCTACAACATAATTATGCTCACATTAACTGTTTTTGCCAAATTGAATATTTCATTGCGCTGGTGCGAATATATATATTTCTACATAGTGCCATGAAGTAGTACATCGCAAGTTATACAATCTGTGATTAATTTTAAAGCGAACCGAAATTCTCACAATAAAAATACATGATATATATGAAATTATTGAATCAGTTTTATATCAAGTGTACATGTAAGCCTTTTTGATCCGACAATATTTAGCTTTGTAATTTAAGAAAACAGTAAAACAAAAATATGTAGTCTATATATACACAGATCTACTGCCTGGTAACTGCAGTGAAAACTATATTACTGAAATCAATACCTTTCGCTAAAACTGCCAAGCGGTAGCCTAGTATAGCTCTCAACCGTCTCGAGTCATTTTATATTTCGAAATATTTCACAAATAAATGCTATAATAGCTTTTATAACAATGTCGTTGTGCATCTATCAACTTACTTGCAGTAAAAATGGAAGTATTCACGCTCTATTTTATTTCGCTATTCTTTCCAAAGAAACTAAGCTATAACATGCACTCTTTATAATTCAGCGCCAGCTGCTAAAAGCCGGCATGCAAAACAGAAATACATAAATTTATAAGTAACTCACAAGCTTTTATTAAGAAGGAGAAAAGATCCATCAACTTGTTTGCCTATCCAACAAGATGAAATGAAGTTCGCAATTTACGCCGGTATTAAAAGTCACTCCTGGCAAAGAGCGTCTTTCGAAGAATTTTAACATATGCATTGGCCGCACGCAGCAGAATCATAAACCTCAATCAAAGATAAGATGATATCTCGTCCATTTGCAATCATTGCCTGCAGCTGAAGGCGACCAACATGCGTATACCGTCTCCAGTCGAGTCAGACTAACAGTGACAGTTTGGGGCGATCAAAATGAACTAAAAATCACATAATAACATATGTATATACGTACACTCACAGCTTTATTTAATTCTCAAACGTAAATATACGCCACGCTTTCACAAAGGAACAGCTCCCTTTATTAAAATATCATGTCAAAACACACACAAGTCGGTGAGAACTACATTGAATGCTCTTCATGTACACAGGCTACGTAAAAACTTCTTTGTCGTAGAGAATTTACTATAAATGAAGCCCAATGGTGTCCAACCGCGGGCAAAATGTAATCAGAATGAAATACTCAGTAAAATAAGATTAAAAAAGTCAGTGTGGAACAGTTTTGATAAATAATTGATTTTCGGATTATCTGACAGCTGCATTGCAATCACTGACGTAGTACGGTATGTAAACAACGTTTAAAATAAGACAAAGCTATAACATGATAGCCATTTCAAAATAAGTATAGCGGGACGTGAAATCAAACACGGTCAAAAGGAAGCGACATGTCTCTTTGCATTATCGATCAAAATCACTTTTCAACCAAATGACAGTTTGAAAAGCGACACATTAGAACTTTCATTCCTTGTCACGTGTCAAATTGATTTACAATTCAAGGACTTTACAATGACGAATCGCAAAGTTATTATAACACTAAGAATTCTTTGCATTTCAGGCGACAACGGCGAGAGAAACAGTGTTCAATTGTAGGTCTTGTTCAAACACTTCAAAACATTTTCATCCGAAAAGTTATTGTTTGTGCAACGCTCTATGTCATTCGTACAAAGCGTCCTATATGGATAGGATATACGACTTTTGCATGAAAATAACGGCCACGCAAAAGTCTACAACGTTGTAGCAAATATAAATTTACATCATGGTATAACCTATACCTACCTGGCTCACTGCGAGCAATATTTGTGCTTTGTATAATTTGTACTATTTAGTTCTATTTGCTCTTAATGCCCGTACCCTAGTTACAAATATTTTTCTTTTTTGATATAATTTTAACAAATAAACAAATGTCCATGTTTTCCATGTTTTCTTTTGATTTGTGAGCTGTAGTTTGATTAGATTTCTATTTTTGTTCTGAAATGTGACTGGTTGGTGTTGTAGATCTCTGAGTGACCCCACCTACTGTAGACGTACTGTAATGTGAAACTGTATTAACTTAAATGAAAATTGGTCCATTTATTTCCAGAACATGCAATGGATGTTAAAATACAACAATATGAGCAGTCCTGTTTACAAAGAAGACATTGTAAAAGCAATAATAAATTCAAGCTGGGCAACAAAGAGCAGGCATGGAAGAAACAGAGCAATGAATTGAATAAGAAAGATTAGTTGACATACATTGTAAATTTATAACGTACTGTATGCATGCATGGTTACTAATTCAAACAGGTGATTATACTTAGTATTATTTGTTTATTTATTGTTTCAGTATTTAGTATATAGCTAGTTTATTATTATGCAAACAGCTTATTATATTTATTATATTAATAAAATAATGTTTTCAGATGAACAAATTTCATGTGTGGGGTGGTGATGTGCTGCATGCATATAGTGTACTAAAGTATTTGTTACAGAAACTATAGTTTTTCATCTACAATAGTATAGTTTTTTCCAGCTATAGGTTTTAGTCAAAACTAAAGTTTTTTGCCAAAACTATATATTTTAGCCAAAACTATAGCCTCCACAATTACTATAGTTTTTATAATTACTATGAAATATTTAATCATAAACTTTAATTCAAATGTTCTGTGCAGATTTAAGACAGATTATATAGTTGGACAGATATCTATGTGGATTAAACAAAAAAAACGAAACGTTGAATTGGTTACATGAACACAAGAAAACGGTTACACATTATGCATATAAATTGTTACTTATTCCAGCGAAACGTCACAACTTGACCTCGAACTTCAGCTTTACATGGTCTTATAGCCACATACTGATTGCACTGTATATAGTGACGTAATATGGTTTTCTATCTTACCAAAGCATAAATGAAATTTTAATTAAGCAAAGTAGTAAATCAATTGATAACCCAATGATTCAATATTTCCTAGCTACTCCAATCGATTTAGAACTATAGCGGCCATTAATCATAATTAAATTTTATTATATTGAAAAATATAGGAACTGATGGAAAGAGCGCATGCATTATCAAGAACAAATTTTAACCATTTCATTCATTAAATAGGATTTTCGATAATTTTTCGCAGTGTTGAAAACAAATTTATCGTTGAGTAGATTGAAAAATTATCAGGGTTTAATGTGCTATAACGTTTTATCATGTTTTATATGCCAAGGCTGGGTTTCGAACCCGGACTTCGAATTCTACACGTATTTTTGGCTTACCTATATAACGGTTGTTCTTACAAAATCGCTATAGGAATAATTGGGCAATATCATTACAGCTGTAATTTGCAAGGGAATTTAAAATTACATGCGAGTACTCATACGTGCGTTAAATCTAGACTTGCGTTGTACCACAAAAAAATACACAAAGGATGTGTTTCGACAATGTGCACGCGCCAAGCCATCATCAGTAACGCTAGTCTAGATTGGTACATCCTATCAATAGCTTCGACAGTGTCATAGACGAAAGAACATATATATATATATATATATATATATATATATATAAATATATATATATATATATATATATATATATATATATATATATATATATATATATATAT